ACTGCATTGAAATAGATGAGGGAGAGAAATGTTTAAAAGGGATATATGATTAGGTATTATTGTCATGACAGGAGTCCAGAATGAAGGCTCCACAGTGGAATGGACTTGGGAGGAGGGATTGCATAACAATGAAAGAGTTTTTCTTTCACTTTGCAAGAAGAGTGACTTGGGGGGTGGGGGGTAGGCAGGGAGAAAAGTGCAACAATGAATGACTGGAAACTCTAAGTCTCTGTAAACTTTCATTAAAATTAATTTTTTTTAAATGCAAGCTTTAGTTTGTTATATAGCCTATTTGCCATGTAATTAACATTATAAAAAATTTTCTTTGAAAAGTCATCTATGCCTCCCCTCATCTATGCAAAAGGGAATTTAGATTTACAATTAACATGAAAATCATGTACCAGACTCTTACAGAAGATTCTTCAATGTACCTTTTTCAGCTCTACTCATCATCCTAATACACAGCCCTGCAGAGTCCTGCTAAGTATTTGTCCTTGGCAGCTTCACTTTCCCACATAATAGAAATACAGGTTTGCACATATATGTAACATGATGATAGGAAATAATAGTAACTTAAATTTCTAAGTTTCAGTTCTAAGTCTCCTTGCCAATACTAGTAGATAAATATGCAAGCAGTAATATATATCTATTCAGAGGTTTTGGAAGTAGCTGAAAGAAAACAAAAGTACTGATCAATGTCACTAGGATCAATAAGGATGTTAAACTGCCACTAACTAAATTGATGATAGCGATCCTTGGGAGAAGTCTGTGGTCCAGGCCAATGGTGGCGTGGGTCCTCCACTTTGGGGTTTCTTCGCTCTCCCCAAGGCCACTCAAAGCTAGGCCTTCGTTATCTCTCAAAATGTCACGTCCAAAGTCCAGTCAGGAAGCACTCACACTAGGGGTTCCAAGTATTGGGAGGAAGTCTGCTGGCGAAGACAGGTGGGCTCAGGGGGTGCGGCCACTCTGCCCCCCCGCCCTGTTCTCATCTTGAACAGCTCAGATCAGATGACCTGGTTGCTGAGCGCCTGGGCTCCTGTCCATATGCTGCTGAATCACCTCCCATGTGATTTTTATAGGTTTGGAAACCCAACAGAGGGTCAGTTTTGAGTTGGTTGACTTGAGGGCAATGAGTTATGTATATTAAGAGCACAGTGAATTATATGTTGTACTGTTTACCAAAAAGATCAGTGGTTTGAATCTACCAGCTGCTCTTTAGGATATGGGCATTCTTTTCCCATTATACTAGGGAACCCGATGGAGGGTTGCTGTAAGTTGGAATCAATTAATGGCAGTTCTTTTGGTATATTTATGTAAAAGCTGGGTAATGAATAGCAAGACTGAAATCTTAGAAGAAATAGAGCCAGAATGATCCTTGGAAGGAAAAAATGGTTGATGCTTCATCTTACTTTTTTCCCCCCCTGAAGATAATTTAGTAATTGTTAAGTAGTTTACTGATGTGTCAAATGTGTTAATGTGGACAGTGTGGGTTGGAGCTCCCTGATTAAAACAAGCTTGGAAGGAGAAGCGGCATCCACTTCCGTAATAGCTTGTCTCTGGAAACCCTATGAACCTGGAGAGGGGATGAAAGACACCCACGCTTTGAGAACTCTCCTTCATAGGGTCGCTAGGAGTCGCCTGCGACTCGATGGCACTTAACAACAGTTCATCAACCAGGAGCTCCCAAAAATTCAAATCAGATTTAGAAAAGGAGATGAGAGTCTGTCATTGCTTATGTCAGATGGACCTTGGCTAAAACAGAAAATAATCATAAAGATGTTTATCTGTGCTGTATTGACTATGCAGCAGAGTTTAACCGTGTGAATCATGTCAAATTATGGGTAACATTACACAGAATGGAAGTTCTAGAACATTTGAAAGTGCTTGTGTGGAGCCTACACAAAAAACACGAGGCAGTCATTTGGACAGAACATGGTTTATCACCTTACTATTTTTAAGGTGTGGAACTAGAGCTTATGAGGAATGGTGGGGAGCCACGTCTCCTTCACCTCTGGGTTGTTGGGTTTCAATCCCTCTCTATATCCTCTATGCAGTATCTGCCTCACTCTTCCTTCTGCTTCACTCCTCATAGTTTCTTGTGCTGTTCAAGGAGACACATGAGGTGTTTGGCATGGTGATTCAGGGCCTGGGGAAGGGCTGTCACAGGCAACCAAGCTCCCAGTCTCAACTTGACTTTGGAATTGCTGCAGGAAGTGATCAGCATGCCAAGAGACCTGCTCAAACTTCAAATACCTCCTCAGACACGACTGCTCCTTAAGGGAGTGCACTTAGCAACCAGAAGGGCCTCCAGGTGCACTCCCCAAGAGCAGGGCCAGGGAGTATCACCCCAAATCTGCTCCTCTTACATATTTGGCCCTGAGTCCAGAGCTGGCTGCCTCTAGTCATTGGTCCCCATAAAGTTCCCAGCTCTTTTCACAGGTCCCCTCCTTGACCTGGACTCATTCTAGGAAGAGCCACTGCTCTCCCTCCTGCCGCTGCCAACTGCACTGGAGACCCTAGCTTGTTGACCCCCCTGCTTCCCATCGCCGCTGCTGGCATTTCTGGGCTGCTTTTTGGGCTGAGTGGTCTGACCAGGCTAAGGAAGCCTCAGGATCTTGGATCTCATGGTACATGTCATTTTCAGGCCTCCCAGTGATTTCCTCCCTCTTGTCCTCCACTTGTCTCCTTGCAGCTCTTGCCTCGATTCCTGCTCCCAGGAAGCCTCATCGTTATCTTCAGCGTTATTCCAGGCAGGTCTCAGCCCAGAATCTGCCAAGGAGTCTTATCCTTCTTCTTCATTCTCTTTGCATCTCCCCTTTGATGTAAAGCACTCAATCAAGTTGGTTTTATGTGAAAAGATTCAGACTTCCAAGAACTGACCCTTGAAAAACTGGGTTTTCAACTGTGAGGGCTTGCTTACATGTAGATTTATTTCCCTGTTGCTACTTTGTGAACTCAAGTGTTGTTAATCTCTGAAGTGAGATGATTGACATTATACATACGCAAAACATTTATCTCAACAGGAACAAGAAAATAAATCTCCATGTAAGTGGTCTCATGCAGTTCATACCTGTGTTGTTCAAGCTGTTGTTAGATGTCATCAAGTTGAGTATGACTCACAGTGACTCGACGAAGATCTGAATCCTGTCCTATCCTGTGCCATCCTCAAATTCTGACACACTTGAGCCTATTGCAGCAGCCACTGTCTCAATCCACTTGGGTTAGAGTCTTCCTGTCTTACATTGTTCCCCTAACTACCCAAGCACAATGTCCTTCTCCAATGGATGGTCACTCCTAGCAACATTCCCAGAGCATAAAAGGCGAAGTTTAATCATCCTTGATTTCAAGGAGCACTCTGGCTGCACGTTCTCTAAGACATACCTGTTTGTTCTCTTGGCCGTCCATGGGATAGTCAGTACTCTTCTCTAACACCACAACTTAAAGGCATCAATTCTTCTTCTGTCATCCTTATTCACTTGCCAGTTCTTGGCCACACAGCAAGTGATTGAAAAGACCATGGCCTGAATAAGGCTCACATTAGTCCTCAAACATCACTGCTCCTCAAGAGCCAACTGTAAATTACATGTGCATGGGAATAGTCGGCAGGCCTGTGCTCCACATTGTTCAAGGGTCAGCTCTATTATGTAAACAGAGACTCAACAAAGTGCCACTAAGCAATACTTTTTATTGTTTCCAAAAAAGCCGTTTTATCCACAAAAAGTCCCAGTGCTGGAAGTGACAAACCCATTCCTTACAATAATGCCAAGAAAAAACTGGGTAAAATGCAAACTTCTTCACCAGTATAATTATCCAAAATATACACATTATCAAATATATAAAGTGAAAAAAAAAGTTAAAGAATTTAATTCTAAGAGACTAGAACATTCCCAAAGTTGAATAAACAGTCGCCTGCTGGGAACAAAGGCTGGGGCTAGGCTTGGCCCTAAAGATACTGGTCTCTTCCTCTCAAGAACAGGGTACATTTTCCTAGGGCTGCCCATGCCCATCAGGCCCATGATGGGTTTCTAGTCACAGCTATGAAAATGGTCAAATAAAACTGTGCCACCTCTTCTCTCATGTCAGAAACAACCTAAAGCAAGTATTTTCCTCCAACTCCATAGTCTATATATAGATCAAGAGACTGTTATCAGCGATGAAGGCAGAGTGCAGCAACGCTGTGGCCTTGGCCTCCGAAGTGCTGGGCTATTTACTGGCAGTGAGGTCGCTTGGCCACTGGCTCCTCTTCCCGCTTCAGCCATCGCTCTAGGAGTCCTGCGCTGCCTCGCTTGGCTGGGAGTGGGCTCTTTTGTAGGAACTGGCTGGACCACTGAGGCACATCTGACTCTTCCTTTTGGGCTGTTTCAGATTTTTCCTTTTTGGGCGATTTTGTGGCTAGCCACAGCAACATCCTCTGATTGCTACCACTTGTCTTGAGCTCCTAAGAGAAAAGAGGACAGAGCTCAAATTACTGTTACTGTGCTCAAGCATTTGGGAAAAGGCTAAGAAAGTGGTTACCTCCCCAGTGAAGAAATGGGGAGAGGTGTTAGGTCCTGACTCAAGTTAGGAAAATAATACCACGGTTAGAGCAAAGCCCTGCAATCAAGAACATTCTCTTCTTTTGCTGCTCAATGCCACGTAGTCTCTATCTCCTAATGCCAGAGTTAACAGGATCAAGTAAGGCTGGATATGTTTAGAAACATACTTAATATTTAAACATTTAATTCTTCCTTTCTCTATACATGTAGATGTAATTGTAATTGAACTGAGGGTCAATACTGTGCTACAAAGATTTTCTTATTTAATCTTTTCAATCAACACTATGAAGTACATATTATTTCCACAATTTCACAAAGAAAGGGATGTTCTGAGAAGTCACTTGCTAAAAGTCACACACAGCTAGTAGGTGGGCCCACAATCTTAGTAATTTATTACATTAACTACAATTCACTTCTCAAATTTCCCCCTCCCCATTTTATTACTTTAACTTTGTGTCCTTAAGAGTATGCTTTTAGGGAGCTCTGGTGGCCTAGTGGCAAGAAGCTGCACTGCAATCCCAGAGGTACACAGTTTGAATCCACCAGATGCTCTGCTGGAGGAGGAGGAGCAATATTCTCCTATACCAGTCAGATCTGATTTGACGGTACACGCACACAAAATAATAAAAATTTTTTAAAAATTTAAAAAAAAAAAGAGTATGCTTTTAAAAAGTGCAACAATGAATTAATGGAAATCCAAAATCTCTGTAAATGTTCATGAAAATTAATAAAGTAAAATTAAAAAAAGCATGCTTTTAGGATAATTCTCAATAATCCTTTATCTTCATAATTACTATTCTACTTCTTCCTTTCTTCAGTGCTAGCTCAAGGAAAACTATGATTTGAGGGTTCAAAGATGAATAATACACAGCTTCAATTCTCAAAAAAAAAAATCATAAACTTTACTAATTCTAAGATATTAAAGTTCATAACATGAACACTCTCAAAACCTCTGAAGGAGATAAGAGACCTACAACTCCTTCTCCAGCTTATAACTGGAAAAGAAGAGGTACAGAAAAGGGACATAAAAAACCAGAAATACAATCATAGTAAAGGAGTCCTTTGTATTTCTGGATTAAGAGTCTTCACTGAAGCATCTTTTTTTCCCTTTTAAAAATCTCATATTTTTATTTATGCTGAATAAAACAATTTACAAAGCAATACTAAAGAGTAATATCTTTTTGTCATTGTAAAAATACAGGTAACACAACTCTTTCCAATTAGCATCTTTTACCTATGAGTTCATGGAATCATTTTGTTTCTGGTGAATACATTAACCCATTGCTTTCAAGTGACCCTCCACCAGTTTTCCAAATCTTAATATGAACAGACTTATCTTTAAAAAAAAATAATAAAAAATTATTATTTTTGTGTGCATGTACCATCAAATCAGATCTGACTGGTACAGGAGATTGTTCCTCCTTCTCCAGCAGAGCATCTGGTGGATTCGAACCACGCACCTCTGGGATTGAAGTGCAGCTTCTTGCCACTAGGCCACCAGAGCTCCCTCAGACTTAACTTTCTATCACTAAGTGACTGATGGATTCAAATGACAGACCTTTTGGTTAGCTCAACACAGAACACACTATGCCACCAGGACTCCCCTACAAATACACATGTATAGGTTATTCAACTCAACTAACTGCTGTTAAGTTGACACTGACTCATAGCTGACCTTTCAGTAGGTTTTCGGACACTGAAGCTTTTTAGTGACATGGAAAGCCCAGCCCATGCTTGAATATTGATTAGGCAACTACAGATGGGCCTAGGAAGCTGTAGTCGCATAGTCCATGGGGAACTGCACTTCTAAACCAAAGGTCACACCTCTCTAGTAGTTTGAATTCTTAATGGCTTTGAGGAAGAAACATGGGCAATCTCCTTCCATGAGATTTATAGTCTCAGAAACCCTTGGAGGGCCAACTATGAGTCAATTCTGACATAATGGCAATGAGATGAGATGGGCTGAGCACTTGCAACTTTAAAAAGCTTCCCTGAAGACTCTGATTACAGCCAGATTTAAGATTCAACACTCTACCTTGCCATTTACAGAAATATGAGTTTTTGGTGGTTTCAATTAACAGAGTATAAAAGGTCATGTCCTAAAAGACAAGACAAGAATGATAGTTTAAAAAGGACTTGAACAGCCACAGGTTCCTACCTTTTTGACTGCTAAGTCAACAGGAGCCAAACACTCAGGAGTGTTGTTTCGGGAGTTGTTGACCACAGTGGAGACTGGATGGAAGGTGATATTCTCTGTAGGGTGGATTAACTTCAAAGCTTCTTGTGTTGAGACCTCACCAAAGTTCAGCCATTTAGACACTGCCTCATCTCCATCTAATATGGCAGGCATCCTGGTCAGAATAGTTCAGGGGTTGGAGAGGTGAAGTGAGGGTAGGGAGGAAAAGGAGAGACATGAGTCTAATAGATCAAACCATCACAAGGAAAAGCCTGTCTCCCTCTGTATAGTACAGACTGACAGCTGCCATGGAGGGTCCCTAACCCCAACCTGACAGGGCACACCAAATTCAACCTCAGGAGAGTCAAGTTTCATGGCTTAGGGAGTGAACAGTGCTATTTCTAGAGCACCATGCTCTGCAGTGTACACACTAGCAAACTCCCCCAACCCCCACCACTGTGTAAAGTCCATGTATATAGGCACTATTTTTTTAAAAAAAGGTCTTCTCAATGACTAATGAATAACCAACTGATTGTACAAAATTCTATTACACAACTCTTAATTTTTATCACCATGTTTTTATTTTTCAACCATCAATCTTCATCATTTCTAACACTGTTTTCAATCTCTAGTTGTTAATGACTTAATTACATGACAGATAAACTACAAGTTGTATAAGGTGGTAGAAATCCCCAATATCTTCACCTTTGGCTTTAGTGGTTAGTGTGTAAATTTGCATAATGGTCATAGTAACAAGATTTCTTACATATGTTTATGGTTATTATCCTATCACCGACAGCACCGTACTTTAAGAGAGATGACCACTACTCATCTGTTAATATGTTTTACTGTGATGGCTTGCATGGTGCTGCGATGCTAGAAGCTATACCACTGGTATTTCAAATATCAACTGGGCCACCTGTGTTAGGTAGGTTTTTGCATAACTTCTAGACTAAGATCAGGCAGTAAGCCTATAGCAGCAAAATACTGTCTGAAAGAGAGCTCTAGTGTCCTAATGGGTAAGAAGTTAGCTATGCTGGCAATGCAAAGGCATATGATTCAACTCTATCAGCTGTTCTGTGTGAAAAAATGGGCAATCTCCTCCTGTGTGATTTAGTTTCTGAAAACACACTGGAGGGTCAGTTTTGAGTTGATTCCAACTCAATGACATACAACAGTGCCTGAAGATGAGGCCCTCAGGTCAAAAGACTAAAGAAGATAATACCAATATTTGCAACACTGTATTCTTTTGAATAAAAAGAAAAATTAATTCTGAGAGTACTCCTATTAGGCAAAAATTGTACAAGGTGTCACAAACCTAGTCAGTTTTGCTAATGCTTGTTTTCAAGATGTTAATCTGTTCCAATGCAACTAATTTATGAGAAAACAATTTGAGCAAAACACAGATTAACCAATTGTTTATACACATTTTTGTCTATAAAATCCACATGGTGAACCTAAGAAACAGCGCACAGCTGACATGAGCCTTGTAGAAACATACAAAACACCTACCCACCCACTTTTCAAATACTTACAGATATCTCAATTGCAATGTATTAGTCCACAAAGTTGTGTTTTGCTATGTATTTAAAAGGCATTCAATATCTCAAACACTTTGCTGGCCCAAATGTAAAAGTATGCAATTTGAATTCACCAACAGCTCTGCAGGAGAAGGACTGGCAATGTTCTCCTGCCTAGTTTACAGCCTATGAAAACCCACTAGGAGGGTTCTGATTCAATAGTACACAGCAACAGCATGCAAATAGAAATCTCAAGAACTGTGGAAAAATTTGAAATAGCAAAGCATCTTTGAAACAAAACACACATAAAAATGTGCTATCCTCTGGCCAATAGTATAATGGACATCAGTGGGTGATAATCATCAGTGATGATGCCACAGAAAAGAGACTTAGGCTGGAATGATTTCAAGAAATGCTGCAATATTAATATGGCCTAAAGGAATGGGAGAAAAATATTTGCATATGGACTAAATGCCAAATGAGGAGGAAACTAGAGCCATTCTGAAAGAGAGAAAACAAAAAGACCTAAAACTTTCAGAGTTGATTCCTTTTGATGATAGCAGTGTTTGATTTGGTAGTTTCAAGCATCAATACAATTTCCAAAGCCTTCAGCTGTTGGGGTAATAGGCACAAATGGAAAAGCAGCAAAAGAAATTTTCAGCAGAGACACATACATTCATTATTATTGTTGTGTACCACTGAGTTTGAATAGACTCAGAGTTGAATTTCCAGGGCGTTTTTAAAGGCAGTTTAATTGCACAAGAGATTCCCCACATTTCTCCTGTAGAGTAGCTGGTAGATTCGAATGGCATACCTTTGGGCTGGCAGCACAATTCCTTACCAGTAAGCTACCAGAGTTTTAGGAGGAGACAATACATTAAACTTTTCTATTCTGATGAAACAGTTTATCTATTATAACCACAAGCCTCAAAGAAACCAAATTTCAAAGGCAGAAAACACTGCCACAAAAACTTAAGACTGCAAAAAATGATAAATTCTGGTAACCCTACTATTTCATAACTCATGAGCTGTAACCCTTCCAATAACCATTTTCAAAAGCAAATATCAGGTGTTATTCTAGGTAAAGTGTCATAGTTATTGGAATACTTTTGCATTTCTTTATCACTTGACATATATAAAGCCATGAAACAATCTTTATTAGATTCCTATTATTTGGTGAAGAAAGTTAAAGGTCACTGTTGAGTGCTTGAAAAACAAATCCATCTTGGAAGTAGTACAGTCAAAATGAATCTTTGAAATGACAATGGCAAGATTTTGTACCGTGGCCATGTTCCCAGGAAAGGACATCACATTTAGTAAAGTAGAAGGTCAAAAAAAGACCCTCAAGAAGATGGATAGACACAGTGGCTGCCTCAATGAGCTCAAACATAGCAATGACTGTGAGAATGGCCCAGGACTGGGTGTCTTTGTTCAGCAGTGCAGAGGCTTACTATAAGTTACAACGGAGCCTAACATTTTCTCTCAATAAGTCACTAACAAAGTTTTTAAGTGTCATGTCTGTCACCTCACTTTTCCTATAAGTTCTGTGGGTTTTAGGTTAAGTTATTACTAGCTGCACATTTTGCACAGTGTAGTGATTTTTAGAAATTTACATGTTATAGAAGAAATGATTATAATTTTATTTTGCAAAGCAACTGTCTTAGCTTTTTAGTCTATAAATCTGTGCATAAAGAAATTTTGAGTTCCAAAAGCTACCTATCTAAAAGGGAGCTCTGGTAGCCTAGCAGGTGAAAAGTTGTGTTGTCAACCCAAAAGCACACCACCGTTTGAATCTACCAGCTGCTCTGCTTGACAAAGAAGAGCAATCTTCTCCCATGAATGACAGACCCACTGGAGGGTCAACTATCAGTCAGTTCCAACTTGATAGCAATGAATTCAAGTTACTAATTTAAAAGCAAAGAGAACCAACCCCCTCTGAATTCATTTGGACTAAGAAACAGCAGTGTGACTTGCCTGTGGTGGATATCATTCAGGCCCTTGCAGGAATCCACTGTGATGATAGTGTAGGAATACAGCACGTCTCCTCCCTGTGGAGGCTCCCAGCAGTCAAATATCCCAGCCATTGTCAGTAGTCTCCAGTTGTCCCACACCTTCTTGCCTTCCTCAAGACTGTCCATGGTACCACTATCTCCTGTCTGGGGAATAAAACACATGGGCAAATTAAATATTCAGCAGTCTTTGCTACACAAACTGGGCATCATGGACTGACTTACAAGCCTGCAATTATTTTAGGAGTAATTAAATTTTTGCCTTAGCAACCCTTCTTGATTACCAAAGAAAGAGGCTTGGTGGCAAATGTCTATCAAGCTGTAGATTTATGGTTCCTCAGTTCTTTTAGAACACCATTTAACACTTTCATTGGGCATTCAGGTCCTTCCATGACCTAGGCCACTATTTCTCCTAACTTATTTATAATATGATCCCAAACAAGCTGTTTGAAAATGAAGCTCTCATGCAATGCCATGTTGCTGGGTCTTCTCCAAGTATCTTTTTCTGCTCAAAATAACTTTCTTACCACGATATTTCCTACTATCATTCAAGAATCAGTTGAAGGCCCAAGACAAAGAAAGCTAGAGTCTCAGTCCCACGCTGCAAAAATAAAAAACTCAACTTATTTCCAAAATAATAAATTTTATTGAACTTAACAGAGAACTTAGGCCACAAAACAATCTACTAGCCGGACAAGAAGATGGGGCCTCCAAAGAAAGATGGGATACAAGTACTGGCTCACTGCAATTCTTTTTACCCAATTTACCCATTTGTTTTTATTCCCTACTGATATCCCTCCAAGATTAATTCTATCTGTGCAAATCTTTTAACTTTTCTGTAACAAATGTTCTATACCATAATTTTTTGTGTGATTTGTCACTCACCACAATTTTTCTAGATTCATCCATACTGTAAAGTAGCTCACAAATTCTTAATAACATTTAAGTGATTCATAACTCTTAATATTTAAATTATTCATAATTCTTTATGGTGTGAAAGAACCACAAAGTACTTTCTTTAGCCACTCATTAATGGACACTTCTATGACTCCTGCCAGAAGCTGTTGTTTGCTTGCTTTCTTTATTTTTTTTTGTGAGAAAAATTTATATTTAGAATTAGCCCGCTGGACTCAGTTTAGATGATCCCACTTTTGTTGGCAACATCCAAAGCATCATAATCAGGAGCAAGTCGAACACAGGCCTTCTTCTCTCCATCAGGCCTAATCAAAGTGTTGACCTTAGCCACATCAATGTCATAGAGCTTCTTTACAGCATGTTTAATTTGGTGCTTATTGGCCTTGACATCCACAATGAACACAAGAGTGTTGTTATCTTCTATCTTCTTCATGGCTGACTCAGTGGTCAGGGGAAATTTGATGACAGCATAGTGGTCAAGCTTGTTTCTCCTGGGAGCACTCTTCCGGGGGTATTTGGGCTGCCTTCCGAGTCTCAGCATCTTAGGCCGCCGGAACGTGGGTGACGTGCGGATCTTCTTTTTTTTGGTTGTGGACGCCCTTCAGCACTGCCTTCTTGGCCTTTAATGCCTTTGCTTTGGCTTCAGTTTTGGGAGGGGCAGGGGCTTCCTTCTTCGCTTTCGGTGCCATCTTCGTAGAAAGGCTGTTGTTTGCTTTCTTATTGAACTTTGCTATTATTGTTGGGATGAGTCAGTATCTCATGGCTGTTTTGAATGAATAGCTGATGAGGGAATTCTGGTGGCCTAGTCTATAGGGAGATCCAGGAATCAACAGGATACCGAATGACACGTTTCAATTAACAGATATAGCCCTGGATGTGCTCATGACAGGAAATCTGGAGGACAGCTATCTGGCCAACTGACTGGAAGAGAATCCATATTTGTTCCCATTCCCAAGAAAAGTGATCCAATAGAACATAGAAATTATCGAACAATATCACTACTATCACATGCAACCAAAATACTGTTGAAGATCCTTCAAAATCAGCTAGAACAGTACACAGATAGGGAACTGCCAGACATTCAAGCAGGAGTTAGAAGCCGGGGCACCTGGGATATCACTGCTGATGTCATATGGATCCTGGCTAAGTGAAGAATGTTTTATGCTATATTGACTATGCAAAGGCATTTGACTATGTGGATTATAACAAGTTATGTGAAGAATGGGAATTCCAGAGCACTTACTTGTGCACATGAGAAATCTATACATGGACCAGGAAGCTGCAGTGCAAAAAGGAGCAAGGGAACACCACAAAGTTTAAAATTAAGAAAGGTAGCAAAAGAATGAAAATCCAACTTTTTGGTAAACTTTCGTTAAAAATCACAATAAAATAAAGTTTAGGAAAAAATTAAGTGTGGGTCAAGTTGTATCCTCTCACCATTATCTATTCAAGCAATATGCTGAGCAAATTATTCGAGAAGTTGGAATCTATAAAGAATGTGGCATCGAGATAACCTGCATTATACAGACGATCCAACCTTGCTTGCTCAAAGTGAGCACTTGAAGCACTTGTTGAGAAGATCAAGGACTACAGCCTTCAATGGATTGCATTTCAACATCAAGAAAACAAAAATTAACAGTGGACCAATAGGCAACATCATGATAGATGGAGAAAAGGTGAAGTTGTCAATTTCATCTTGCTTGGATCTACAATCAACACCCTTGGTACCAGCAGTCAGGAAATCAGGAGACATACTACACTGGGAAAGTTTGTAGTTAGGGACCTCTCTAAATTATTGAGGAACAATGATGTCAGTTTGAGGACTAAGTGCATCTGATTCAGGCCATGGTCTTTCTGATCCCTTGCTATGCATTTGAGAGCTGGGCAAGGAATAAAGATAAAAATATATTTGTTATACTGAGGACATCTACCCTTTGGACTGTGATATTGGAGAAGAGTAGTGAATATCCAATGGACTTCCAAAAGAACAAGTAAGTCTTAGAAAAAGTACAGCCAGATTTCTCCTTGGAGGCAAAGATGCTGAAGCTTTGTTTTAAATATTTTGGGCATGTTGCTAAAAGGGGCCATTCCTTGGAGAGGGGCAAGAACCTCAGAAAGACGGAGTCAACAAAGGAGAAGAAGATCCTTAATAAGTTGAACTAACATAGTGAATGCCATAACGGGCTCTAGTATATTAGGAAGTGCAAGGATGGCACAGGATTGGACAGAGTTCAGATCTGTAGTGCTGTGTGTTGTTTATTGTTCAAAATGGCTTTCCTGGCCACTGACTTTGACTTTGTCATGTGAATAGATGGGAATATACGAATAGGGCATGTTAGCCTATCCACAAAGGGACTGTCTAATTTTGCTATTACTAAATTAAGCAGGAGTTGGTATGACTGTGCTCTGGTTTGCGGTCTCTGATTGTCTGGAGGTGGATTCTGATTTTCTCCTTTTCTTTCTGGTCACATTTAGTGACCCGCAGGCCCCCATCCTGAATCCCTGCGCGTTCCTCCTCTCCCGCGCACTCCGTGTCTGGGACTTCCAACCCCCGGGCCTGGGCGGCCACCGCTCCCCGACACGCAGTGCATGTGGTTTGTCGGCCACACAGACATTCCTCTAGGTCGTATAGCCCTGGTGTACAAGTTGCCGTCCCGCAGTCACTTGTGGTTGCTGTGAGGCTGAACACTGTGACTCGGATGTGTCAAATGTGTTAATGGTTGGCTACCCAATGCGGACAGAGAGTGGGGTGAAGCTCCCCAATTAAAACAAGCGTGGAAGGAGGAGTGGCATCCACTTCCATAATAGCTTGCCTCCAGAAACCCTATGAACCTGGAGAGAGGATGAAAGGAACCCAACCGTTGAGGACTCTCCTTCATAGGGTCACTATGAGTCGCCTGCGACTCGACGGCACTTAACAACAACTACAACAACAAATTAAGCAGATTCAGCAGCATATTTTGAGACTCTCACCACCAACAAACAGCAGAGAAAGCAGCATGTCCTTTAGGACCAGAGATCCCTGTGCCAGCCAGACCTACAGGAGAGCAGCAGCAGCACCAGAGACCTAACATGAGATGACCTTGGAATTGTTACCTCACAGAATCAGAGCTAAAAGCCTTCATCCAAGTGTATTAGACTTGGGGGGGGAGGGTAGGATTCATAATTAGCAGGATTAAGAGCTTTGTAATATTGGCCTAAACCTGCAAGGCTGAAAGCTGAGGTGCCTAAGTGCACATTTCAGAAGCTGTTCTGACATAGTGGTTTTAATCTACTGTAAACCTAAGTCAGACAGTCTTTGACTTCCCTAATAAACCTCATAGGGATTCTGTGTGGTCTATGAGGTATTGCAATGGATTCTAGATCCAGTAGAGCAGTAAGAGTTGAGTATGAAGGATGTGAATTGGTTTTGTATTGTGGATGCCACTGATGGGGGCAGCTCCCTCTTCTGGAGTTAGAAGAGGTCAAACATGGCTGTCTCCATGCAGCCCTGGTTCTTTTTACATGCTAATTCAAAGGTGGTATCCCTCTGACAGCTGAAATCAGCCAGCAGCTATGCAGGGAAAAGATGAACAATCTGTGATCTACAGCTTCAGAAAACCTGCTGTAGGATGGGCTGAATAGGTTCCAATTTGATGGCAGTGCAACAATGTATAAATGGAAATGCAAGTTTTCTGTAAACTTTGTTAAAAATCACAACAAGAAAGTATTTAACTTAAAAAAAATAGCAGACAACAAAAGTCTGCTGCTGAAAAGTCTGTGACCAAGGAGTTATTTCAGAGAGAATGGATGGCTCCTGATCCTCAATAAACTGGTGCTCAGCCTGAGGTTGTGGACTGGTCTGAAGGCGTGCAGGTGCCCTCTGTGCCTATTCAGTAGTTCCCTACTGAAGACTGGAGTGCTCAGCCTGCAACTAGAGACTGGTCTAAGGCCTAACTATTCAGGCCAATGAATGGTTCAGACAAACACCAAGTGGTCTTAAATTGTCTTTTCAGTTTTTCAAAAAGTGGAAATAAGGCTGACTGAAAATAAACATGTTTCCTCAAAAAAAAAAAAGACAGGATATAGATCAGGATTGCATTGTATTTACTTATAACGGTAAGGCCTTCTATCCATGAGCATAATATACTTTCCCATGTATGCAAGTGTTTTGTTGTTTTCTCTGTATGGGTCTGCTATATCTTTAATTAGATTTTTAAGCATTTCATATTCTGAGTGACTATTATAAAAGGTATTATTTTACGTTCTTTGCAGAGTTCTTGGTTCCAGTAGGAGAATCCCAGTGTTATTTGTATGCTGATCTTATACCTATCACACAGCCGAATGAGTCCATTAGTCAGTAATTTTCTTGCTGAGTCTTGGGGATTTTCAACATATAGATTATCTTCAAGTAAAAGATAATTTTCTCTTTATTTCAAGGCTTTTTATTTGCTTTTCTTATCTTACTATTCTGGACAGAATTTGCAATATAAGATCAAATAAGAGTAGAGATAAAACTGTATCTGATTCTCTTTTGCCAGAGGAAGGCCTTCAATCCTTCTCCATTCGGGTAATGTTGCTCATTGATTTTGTATATATATGCTAATTATCTAGAGAAATTTCCCATCAATTTCTATTTTATTGAGCATATATAGCAGAAAAGGTTGAATTAAAGAATAAAAAAGGTTGTTGAATTTTGTATACTGCCTTCACTACAACAATTAAGATGATCATGTGGTTTAGCTTTTTTTGTGTGTGGTTTTATAATTGTATTTGATAATCAGTTATTAGTTTTCATCCATATTACCATCTGGAGATTTTTTTTTTAAAGTAGTGGCAGGTACATTGGTAACCAGTGCACACAGCTTCTTTTGGCCTCATTAAGTTTTCTGGACAACTGTACATGGATGTGGTACAGGACAGCCCTTGTTCTTTTGGCCCAGACTTTACTGAGCGTGGTATCAATGAGAACATATGGTGTTCCCATCTCCTTCAAAGAAAATTTCCTTATCTCCTGGAGTGTTGGATTGGCACACTTCTTAAAGCCCATTCCATGGATATGCTTAAATGGTGTACTCTCGGGTCACCACTTTACTGATGGCAGAAGGGTCCTTCTTCTTCTCACCACTCCAATTTTAGACCACAGTGCTGGGAGTAGGCCAGAAAGGAAGAGTCTCCTTTGTTTTTTTGATATGACAAATTATATTGATTGCTTTAGAATGCTGAACCATCCTTGTGTACCTGTTATGAATCCTACTTGATTATTACGAATGATTTTTGTGATAGGATATTGGATTCTACTGGTAGGTTTGCTGAGAATATCTGCAACAACTTTTATAAGGGATAGTGATCTATAACTTCCTTTTTTAGTAAAGAAGCTCAAGGGGCACTGAAGGCATTGGCACAAAATAAAGCTCCAGAAATTAATGGAATACTATGCTTCAACAAACAGATGCAACCCTGGATGTGGTTACTAGTTTACTGCAAGAAATTTAGAAAACAGTCACCAGATCAACTAATTGGAAGAAATCATAATTGTTCCTGACCCCTAAAAAGTGAGCCAATAGTGTGGAAATTATTTAACAACAGCATTAATATCACAAGCAAGTAAAATCTTGCTTAAGATTATTTTTAAAATATCTGGTATAGTTTCGTTAACAAAGAAATGCTGGAAAAGATGGACTGAATTAGCTGGTATATGAGATATGACTGCTGATGTCAGAGGGATCTTGGCTGCAAGTAGGAAATACAAGAAAAATCTTTACTTGCATTTTATTGATCATGCAAAGGCATATGACTGTGTGGATCATAACAAATCATCGATAACATTGAGAAGAATGAGAATTTCAGAACACTTAATTGTACTCATATGAAAACTATACAGAGACCAAGAAGTAGTTGTTCACATAAAACAGGGAACATCACATAGTTTAAAATCAGAAGATGTGTGCATCAGGGTTGTAGCCTTTCTACACGTGTATTTAGTCTGCATGCTGAGCAAATCATTCAAGAAGATGAACACTGTAGAAGAATGTGACGTCAGGATTGGAGGAAGACTTATCAGCAACCTGGCTTGCTAATAATTAAGACCTGAAGCACTCACAAAAGAAGATTACAGACTATAGTTTTTAATATTGGTTACCTTTCAACATCAAGAAAACAAAAATTCTCACCAATGGATCAACGGGCAACACCATGATAGATGAAGATTGAAGTTGTCAACGATTTCATTTTACCTGGGTCCACAATCAACACCCATGGTAAGAGCAATCAAGAAATCAAAAGATTTGTTATACTGAGGACATCTGCTATTAAGGACCTCTTTAAAGTGCTTAAGAGCAAGGATGTCAATTTAAAGACTAAGGTGCACCCAATTCAAGCCTTGGTATTTTAATTGCTTCCTAGGCATCCAAACTTTGGACAGTAAATAAAGGAATGAGAAGTCAATGCCTTTGAACTTTGGTGTTTGTACTGATTATACTATGGACAACCAGAAGAACAAACAAATCTATGCTTGAGGAAATTCAACCAGAGTGCTCCTTAGAGGCAAGGATGGTGAAATTCTGCCTCATATATTCTGGGCATGTTAGGAGGGGATAGTCCTTAGAAAAAGATATTATGCTGAGAAAGGTAGAGAGACAGTAAAAGAGAAGAAGACCCTCAATGGGACAGTCTGACACAGTGACTTTAAGAATTACCCTGAGCTGTTTATTTCGGCTTTGTTCATGATAGCAAAGAGTTGGAAACAACTTAAGTGTCCATCAACAAACATGGACAGAGCAGTTCTTGTTTATTCACACAATGGAATACTATGCTGCATTGAAAAACAGTGAACTCATGAAATATTATACAAAATGGATGACCCTGAAGGACATTATGCTGAGTGAAGTATCTTAGTCACATAGGGACAAATACTGAAAAGGGCCACTGTTGTAAAATGGGACTGACATTGGGGTTGAGGGAAGAATGAGAAAGAAGGGATAAATAATGTATACTGCAAAAAAATTAAAAAAAAAGTATACTGCATTGAAACAGATGAGGGAGAACACTGTTTAAAAGGGATATATGATTGGGTATTATTGTCGTGACAGGAGTCCAGAATGAAGGCTGCACAGTGGAGTGGACTTGGCGGGGTCGGGGGAGGAAGGATTGCATAACAGTGAAAGAATTTTTATTTTACTTTTCAGAGAAGAGCAAATTGTGGGCGGGCAGGGAGAAAAGTGCAACAATGGATGAATGGAAACCCTAAGTCTCTGTAAACTTTCATTAATTAAAAAAAAAATAATAATTAGCCTGAGCATGGTAAGGATGGTGATGATGGCAAGACAGGGCAAGGCTCAGATATATTGTTCATAGGGCCACTATATGTTATAGTCAAGTGGACAGCACCCACTAACAACCTCTCTAAATACCTACTGTGAGTTTTGCTGTTTCTGATACCTTTTCTGTCTTGATTTGGGGGAAGTAGATGAAGTACGGCTGCCTTTGGTTTGTTCCTTGACATCTTTGCCACTCATAGAACCCATCTGCTAGAACGACACAACGTCTTCCCTTACACAGAGGCACCTGAGGGGAAACAAAAAAGAGATGGTCCTAAGAATCATCTGTTTTATGAACCTGAGTTAAAGTCATAGGTCCAACAATGTGTGATCTTAGGGCAGTTATTTACATTTTCACCCCTCACTTAATTCTTATGTATTAAATGGTGATATCATCCAGTTATGAAGTTGTTGAATTATATAAGGTACATAAAAAGTAATCAGGTCTGTTATCCAACAAATAGAAGGCACTTAAGGTGGCTAGTCTCCTAAATTGGTCCCCTAATAAACCAAAATTCCCCATCTTCACTCTCTATGTAGTTCTCTCCCAAATGGAATTTAGGATGGCTATGCATAACCCACAAACTGCAGCTGAAGTGATTCTGTGACTTCCAAGTCTGAGTCACAAAGCTTTGGTTGCTTCTACTTTGCTTTTTAGATTGTAAGCTCTGGATTAAGCCAGCCATCAAGTAATAAACCTAATTACCCTAAGACTATTAAGCTAGGCATGTGGAAAGGCTTCTATTTGTTTTAACCATCTTTGCTAAGGTATCAGACTGTGAGTAAACAAAGAAGCTGGCATTTGATCATAATTACATAAGTAATTCCTAAGAGAAATAGCAGTTGGGCCTAGTCAACTCAGAGCATAAGAGATAATAGTAACTCTTTTAAATGACTACATTTTGGTATGGTTTGTTACACAGTAATAAATGGAAAATCATTCAACATAAACAACTATTGAGAATTGAGAACAATATTCTTTGTAATCTTAAAGATACTGCCACTGAAGTGGTTCATAATAACTTCAAAGGGTTTTCAAAGCTATGTATTTTCAAAGAAGGAGATTGCCACATCATTTTTTCTGCAGAGCAGAAAATGAGGGTCAAACCACTGATGTTTCTAGTCAGCAGACAGGCACTTAACACAACCAAAGATCTTTATTGTAACCTTAAAAGAAGTCTGAAGAGAATCTTACCTTACTTCTCAGCTATACAGGACAGTAATAATTCATTTAGAAACAAGACCAGAATGTGTATAGATGACTTCCCTACACAGGTACCTACCTTGAATGACTGCTTCTCTGTCATGGTGTCACTACGACAGTTAGAAGTGTTGAACTGTAGCTTGGAAGGATCATTTTCT